ACCGGCATTGCCGGCCTCGGCCGCACCCGCGTCGCACCTCCCTCCCAACTCGCCACGAAATTCGGCTTCCGCCGCCGCTTCGCTCTCTGCCTCCCGCGCGGCGCCTCCGGCGCCCTCTTCTTCGGCCCCGGCCCCTATAACTTCCTCCCAGGCGTCGACGCCTCTCAATCCCTCCTCTACACTCCTCTCCTCTCCAACCCCGTCAGCACTGCGGGATCCTACAACGCGGGGGAACCTTCCTACGAATATTTCATCGGCGTCACCGCCATCAAAGTCGGCGACACCGTGTTGCCGTTAAACAAGACGCTTTTGACCATCGATAAGAAGACCGGGTACGGCGGAACCAAGTTAAGCACGGCGGTGCCGTACACGACGCTCGAGACAAGCATATACAAGTCATTGACTTCAGCCTTTACGGCAGCGCTGGCAAACGTGACGAGGGTGGCGGAGGTGGCACCGTTCGAGTTCTGTTACGATGCGAAGGGTTTGGGGAGCACGAGGGTGGGCCCGGCGGTGCCGGCGGTGAACCTCGTGCTGCAGAGCGAGGCAGTGTACTGGAGCATCTTCGGCGCGAATTCGATGGTGGAGGCGGCGGACGGAGTGCTCTGCTTGGCGTTTGTGGAGGGCGGGAGGAGGACGATGACGTCGATTGTGATTGGTGGGTTTCAGTTAGAGGACAATTTGGTGGAGTTCGATTTGGGCTATTCGAGGGTTGGGTTTAGCTCCACGCTGCTGTTCCGGCGGACCACCTGCTCCAATTTCAACTTCACCTCTAGCACCAGATGAGTGAATAAAAATAAGCTGCGTTCTCAATAATGAGATGTTGTATGGGATGATGCAATAAATTAATTATATTTGTATGATATGTTGTTGTCAGAATTTGGCTGACATTTAAATATTTAATGCATGTCTCTATGTTTCCAATTAAATATTTAACTGCATAAAAATAAATATTATTCACCACCTCTTCAATCAATAAAAATAAGAAATTTTTTCATACATAATATATAAAACATCTTTATTTACTTATCTCACATTCAAACTTTAAATTTTACTATTTTACCACTGTATTACGCTATCCCTCATTGAATATAACATTACGTTTGCTCCCGTCAAAACTAAGTCATGGAAATAGGCTGTCCCGCGTGCTAAACATCTTTGATAATTTTCTAAGGTGGAAACAGAGCTTGGTATGGAGATTAATGGTAGAGTAGGAAGAAGAAGTATTAGTGGAGAGATGAGCTTCGAGAGATTCTAAACAACCCGCTTTGCTTCGCAGAAGGACAAGGAAAAAAGCCTCGTCGTAGTCGCAATAAGAGCTCAGGTCGTTTACTATCTTAGCATAAACGGGCAGCTTGAACCCCCTCAATTCTTGGATGAATGCTTGGTCCCTTTAATTCTCGAAGGCAAACCATCCTCTGTTCTTGATTCGTCTTTTTGAAATTATGTGTAGAACGATTTCAACATTTTCAACTAAGTAATAGAAAACTATGGACGTGTTATATAAAACCAAACAGGCTTTGGAAGCCGAAGAGGAACAAGATGATAAAGATGTATAAGAAGAACCATCGCTCTGTGCCCTCTGTCGTCTTCCTCCTTTGACAAACCACCGTATGAATCTGCCGTAGAAAGCCGCGTAGCATCCTGCTGCTCCGATCCAGTGCACCTCACCTGCAACTCTATCCTTCAATTCATCTCATGTGGCTCCGTCACAGTCAAGGGAGGCCGCGCAGCCGTTGCCTCTATCGGTGCTCCAGCTACTATTAAGGGTAGGAAGAGTGGGAAAGCCTTGAAAGGGAAGCATCAGAGTTTCAGTGTATGTCGGAGAATCCACGGTGGGTGGAGAAAGCCTTGATAACATTAAAGAACTAGAGAAGGCGGAGAGCAAACCTACTATGGCGACGAAGACGCTACGGGTTTGGGCATATATGATAACGGAGTGCTAATTTAGATGAAACGGGATGTATTTGAGTGGTAGGCATGTAAATAGTATACTTTGAGTGTTAGATACGTAAATATAATAGTTTCAAGTGTTATGTACGAAAAAAAACCTAAGAATAAATATAATAATAAATTTTCGATTATGATTGCATAACGTTACAATTGCTCGTACCATCATATGCGTTAAAACTAAGGAGGAAGATCTTGAGAGATCTTTCTTGCAAGAGATAGAGAGGGAGGGAGGGAGAGAAAGAGAGACATCAATTGGGGAGGAAAATACCTCAAGCTTCATTAATTTTCCCCAACCAATACATCATACAAGGCTTCTATTTATAGAGGTTAACAAGAGTGTGGTAGCATGCATGAACAAGATAATCTTAAAACTAAATCAATACTTAACAATCTCCACCTTGATTTAGTTTTACAAAAACAAAGAACCACTAGTCACAAGAATCTGAACTTGTTGCAATCCAACCGATCACCCTGGACACACGTGCGTGCTCCTTCCTGCGACTTCGCACGATCCACCCGTCCATCCCGAGTTCCCGACCATCTTGCCTCCACGAGGTTCTTGATGCTTCAACATGCTCATATAATTCTCTACCTCGACCGAAACTCCACCTGAATATGAATCTCTATCTTCTCCTTCATCTGAGCTCGACCAGCCTGATTGAATAAGCCCACGCCTCCTTCCTAACCACATCAAGAACCGAATCAAGAAGCTCGGCTCCCTCAGTGTAATGTTGCTTGGCGTGACTCCAGTGACCGGCTCCACTTGCTAAGAATGTTCTCTATTCCTCCGTATCAAGAAACCCACTACAACACCTTGTGGAATTTCCTGCTGACGCAGCTTTTCCCTCAACCAAAGCTGCCTCTTCCACCTGCTTGCCTCCGCCCAATGACCACCACGCGCGATCTTCCTTGCCAAATCATGGCACCAGGCCATTGCTCCTTTCCTGCATGAGTCCACCCGAGTCTGCTTCCGCTTGGTCCGACGCTCTCCTCCTTCTCCCTTCGTCGAATAGCCTGCGATGCCGATCGCGGAGCCTCCACGTCCGTCAGATTCTGTGCGTTGTCGGCAACTTGAACACCTCAAGAACACCTTCCTCCTTCGAGATCGCCACCAGGGCTCTGATACCAAATTGTTAAAACCAAGGAGGAAGATCTTGAGAGATCTTTCTTGCAAGAGATAGAGAGGGAGAGGGAGGGAGAGAGAGACATCAATTGGGGAGGAAAATACCTCAAGCTTCATTAATTTTCCCCAACCAATACATCATACAAGGCTTCTATTTATAGAGGTTAACAAGAGTGTGGTAGCATGCATGAACAAGATAATCCTAAAACTAAATCAATACTTAAAAATATGTTCCGTTGTCTTAAACCATGCCTGATAATCAGAGTCGTGCCCTACTTATGTGTTCATGCCCACATTGTGCTAGGTTCTAGAGAATTGAGATAACTAGTAGAGGAAGATAACATGTATACTTTTCTTGTTTTAGCAACAAATATCAAAGACTCCACGTCTATCATATCTTTTGATTCGACTGGAAATAAAAAAAAGTTAGTACCCTTTGCTAGTTTCCTATCTTTGATGCAGTTAGAGTCCTGCCTCCCTGTTCATCGTTATGTTTTTTTTTTTTTTTTGTAATTGAGTCATGCTCGAGTTTTCAAATGAGCTTAAGCCTCTAAATTTTTTAACGTGTCAAGCTCGTGCTTAGTAAATGCTCCAGTCAAGCTCAAACTCAGTAAGAACTAAACTAGATTAGCTTGATTATGCTGATATTCGCCTCAACTCGACTCATTTACACCACTAATCCCAAAATTCTCTCCTTTTTAAGCAGCCAAAAATACAAACTAATTCAACTTCAATAACTTAATTAATTACCAATAAATTCGTTAAATTAATACCTTTTTTTTTTTGGTCAATCCGGGGCAAAAAAGCGCCCATGTATTAAAAATAAAGTTCAATTACAATTACAAAAACAAGTAACCTGTAAGGAAGACAGAAAATAACAGCAAGAACTAACAGCAAAATCGTGAAAAGGCTACTACAGATGGGAAATTACAATCAATAAGACTTAGTAAAATAAAGAACCATAACTAATACATCAGATAAAACCATCAGTTAATAACCCACGTCGGCAAGGCAGAGGCTCCAGTTGCCAGAGAACAAGTTGAAGGCCATCACAGAGCCTCCAACCTGCGAAAATACATGCCCGGTTGCCACACAGGCCGTCCAGGGCAGCCATAAGTAACTGGTTCTTCACATCATGGTCAGATTGTAGAATTGCACCCAGCAGTAGTAACCCATGGTACCAAAATTGTCATAACAGTAAACCAAAGAAATGAGCATCATGTTCTTCAAAAAAATGAATTGGACCTGGTAGAAAGAGAGCAACAGCCAAAGTCCCAAAATGTTCTTCCCATGTCTGAAATAAAATGAAAGTAACAGCTGGAGCTACCAAAGCTCCCAAAATTCCAAAAAACTCGTTGCAGCAGCAATAAGCAGATGGGCAGTCCACCAAGAATAAATTCCAACATAGCCATGAGACAAACAGGAAAAAATGTAAGATTAAATACCCGTAAACCTTAGCAGAAGCTTGTCTTTGTTTTTCCATTTTGAAAATTTTAAACGTATGACAGCAGTGATATTGCAAATCAGTTTGACCGAATTGGTTCTAAGGTTTGAGAATCGGCGGCTGTTTCTCTCACGCCACGTGTGATACACAATACAGCTCACAGTTAAGCAGCAAAAATCCTTCTCAGTTCTACTATAAGACTCATGCTGGCTAATCAATTCAAATACTTGGATTAAGTTTGATCTCAGCATAAAAACATTGAAATCAGGTAGAATGTATTTGAGAATGTTAAAAGAGAAGTCACACTCAAAAAACAAGTGAGCGTGGCTCTCAGCCGAGCTGGAACAAAGGGAGCATTGTGGATCTACATGGATTTCCCTAAATAGTAAGTTGTCAGCTGTTTTAAGTTTCCCAATCAATGCCATCCAGGTGAAGCATGCATACCTAAGAGAATGTTTTTTATGCCAGATAGACCCAAACCAATCAACCTTAGATAGATGAGAATGAAAGTGCTCAATGAAAGCCTTAAAATTCCATTTGGGGGATCCATTCCAAAGAATAGCAGACACTTCTTTCAGATTCAAACCCGCAATTGAAGCATAAAGATTAGAAGGAGTATTAGGGGGCAAGTTCCAAGTGTCATTAGCAATAAAATCTTTCACAAGTTTATCCTCAGAATTTGGCATCACAAAATGTTCAGCAAGAATGATGTCTTTAAACCAAGGGTCCCAAAGGAAGGAATAGTTGCAAGTATTAGACACAGAAAAAGTGATAGATCCCCTAATTTTGGCAGCAGTAACATTAATATTCTTCCAGAATTTGGAAGCAGCCGCATGAGCAGTTTTCCAAGGAGAGATAAATTTGGATTTATACCAACTACACAAATAGTTCTGAGAGTTATAAAATCTGCCAATAAAAGAGCAAAAAATCCCATGATATAATGCTTCAATAGATGGAATACCAAGCCCACCATAATGCTTAGGTAAAGTAACTTTAGCCCATGCTATGAGGTGCAATTTCTTCTCATGAAGATTACTATGAAACAAAAACCTTGAACAAAGCTTGTTGATAGAAGCACAACAAGACTTAGGTATAATGGCTCCTCTATTCTAGTAAGCAATGGTATTTGTGGTGGTGAATTTAAGAAATTGAGCTCTGCCTGCAAAGGAAAGAAATTTATTTTTCTAACCATCAAGTAGAGCAAAAATTTTGCTCAGTAGTGGTTGAAAGTGAGTAATTTTAAGCCTTTTAGAGGATATGAGTAGTCCCAAATAAGTAAGGGAGATGTTAACTTGGTAAATACCAAGAATCTCACAAATGATATGCCCCAAATTGACATTGTGAGAGAAAACAATTGAACTTTTAGCTTCATTAACATAAAGTCTAGAGAAAGAGCTAAAATCCATTAGGCAAGATTTGAGAGTCTCAGCATTATCTCTGGTAGCCTCCCCAAACACAAGTAAGTCATCGGCATACATTAGGTGATTGATGTGGACCTCCTTATAAGAAATCCCCTTGAAATTTGAGTTTCTATTCAAAATGTTGGAAACTTCATCCATCACAACACAAAAAAATAAAGGAGAGAGGGGGCATCCTTGACGGAGTCCAGAGGTAGAGTTGAAATACCCCTCAAGAGATTCATTTAGACAAACCGAGAAGTAAACATCAGATTACAACCTTTTATCCAAGAAACAAAAACTTGAGGAAATCCTTTCTGTATCAGCCTAGCAATCAAGAATTTCCTAGATACATAATCAAATGCTTTTTTGATGTCAAGTTTAGCACAAAACCTCTTCTGAGAGCTTTTGAAATCCCTAAGAATTTCAGAAGCAAGAATGATGTTATCCAAGGAGCATCTGTTTGCAATAAAACCTGATTGACTATCATGAATGATGAAAGGAAGCACCCTTTTAAGCCTATCGGCAATGATTTTAGCCACAATCTTATAGAAGACATTACAAAAGATATGGGCCTATAGTCGTTAATGCTAGAAGCATGTGAACATTTAGGAATAAGAGTGATAGCACATGCCTTAACACCTTTAGGTAGAGAATCAGTAGTGAAAAAGTGATTAATAGCATTGAAAAGTTGAGGACCAAGAATATGCCAAGTATTCCTATAAAAAGCATAAGAATAGCCATCCGGGCCTGGAGAAGAAGACACTTTCCCATCAAAAACAGCAGTTTTAACCTCCTCAAAGGTTAAAGGGGCCACCAACATGCTATGCAAATGAGTTGGTACAACATGTACCGTTGGAATATCTAAAGGCAAATCAAAATGAGGGGTCGGGTTGTTGTATAATTCCTTAAAATGATTAACAAGAGCTTTAGAGATATCATTAAATGAGGTGAAGATCCCATCATTCGTAGAAATTTCATTTATGCAATTTCTATTATGCCTACTTCTGATTTTGGCATACAGAAAGCCAATGTCCTCTTCACCATGAGTGAGCCAACGAGCCTTAGCTCTTTGAGATATCCAAGACGACCAGTTTCTTTGAGCATCAGCAAGCTCATCATTAACAACCTTTAAAGAGTTGTTAAGATCCAAATTTAGAGGGTTAAATTAATACCTACACCTATAGATTTCAAATTGATCACGTGCCAATATCAAAAAACTGTCGGCCCACATGAAAACCTGTGGCTTTAAAATTTTAACTAATGACAAATTCTTAAAAATCATTTGGGATAATTTTTATTATTTTTATTTTAATTTGATATAAACTAAGTATATCTAATATTTTAAAAAACATATATTTTTTATATTGAAAAGTAAATAAATTAATTTATTCTATAATAAATAAATTATTAGATTTAAATTAGAATTTGACTCTTAGACTTCATTTGAGAAAGCTTTCTTACAGCTTCTTTAAAGCAGTTTTTAACTAGAAAATAAATTTTTTATACAAAAAAATTACTTTAAGAAACAATAAAAAATCATCCCAAATGAAACCACGATAAGACATAATGTAGAAAAGGAATTCATATAATTAGGGGTGTTAATATTTGACATGACATGAAAATCCGACTCGAACCCGACTAAGAAATTTCGGGTTTGACCCGACCTAGTTTCAAAACGGGTTAGGTTCGGGTTGATCCGACGGGTTGCCGGGTCAACCCGCGAACCCGTTTAAAATCAACTGCCCGCACTGCCCCGCCTGCCCGCGACGCTGCCCCGCCTGCCCGCGACGCTGCCCCACCTGCTCGCGAAGCACCAACACTCGCCCGGGCGCACCCGCTCTCGCTTGCGCTGGCCTGCGCGCTCGTTGGCGCTCGCCTGCGCGCCCGCTCGAGCTCCCCCGTGCGCACC